ATTACAATATACAATTTAAATGTGTTAGCTAGCTTATACGGGGTGGGGCAGAACTGATTGAACAGTTTTGAGGCCAAATAAAAGAGTAATGGAAGTACATATAGAAGAAAGTTTATTTTCCTCAAGATTAGCATAACATACCATTTAAAATACTTATGTTTTGAAAACAATATCAGGGAGATGGGGTTTGTTAGCTGCATCACACTGTTGGAGTCATTCTCGGAAGTTTTCTACAGCACTTTCACACATATGGCAAGGTATGGCCATAACCTCTGCTGCAATAATCCGTTCCCATAGCTGTGGTAGGGCGTGAGGGCGACTTCTGAACACCCTTTCTTTTAGATGTCCCCAAAGAAAGAAATCGCAAATGCTCAAATCAGGTGACCTCGCAGGCCACTGTAAATCACCCCTCAGAGACACCAGACATCTGGGAATCATGCGTTTCAAAACATTGAGTGACATTCAGGCTGTGTGAGCTGTAGCCCCATCCTGCTGGAACCACACGTCTCCCAATGCTTCATTTTCAACAATGTTTTCCATCCTGGGCTGCAAGAAATTTTGCAACATTGCAGCATAGCGATTGGAATTCGCTGTTACGGTTACTCCCTACTCTGAGAATGACTCCAACAATGTGTTGCTGCTAATGGCCCCCATCTTCCAGATATTGTTTTCAAAACATAAGTATTCTAAATGGTATGTCACGCTAACCTCTAGGAAAATAAACTTTCTTCTTTATGTACCTCCATTACTCTTTTATTTTACCTCAAAGCTGCTCAATCGGTTCTCCCCCACTCTGTATATTGAGAGGTTTAGATTGTATTGACCTTTTAGGCAATTAGAAAGATTTTCCATCCTAATACGAGTATTCTAATTAAAATATTTAATTTCAATCTTTAAATATGTGAATTTAAAACTAGAAACAAAAAAATTACAATTATAAGACTATATATAAAATAATTAAATGCAGTGAATGGATACCTATAAAATATTCAAATTGTGCACATGTTTATTTCAAACCGTATTAGATTTTCTAATAACTTAAATCTTATTTCAAGTCGAATGAGGTTTGTTTGGTTATCGTTCAGTTTATGTTTTGTATTGGTATATTGGTCTGAATTGAATGGGAACAGTGCAGTCAGTCACTCAGTCACTACTAGTCGGAGTGTATAGAGGGTAGAGTCTGGTAGATTTATAGGACATAAAACTAGTAGATCTATTGATAGTGCTGTGCACTGCTATCAGCTACCTATCTCTTATGTGACTCTTCAATGTTTAGAAGATCTGCATTCCTGAAGTGTTTTTGTATAGTGAAGCCAGTTAAATGGTCAATATTTAGCTCATTACCTTGCTCCATACAAACTTTACAAAGCTAATGAATAGACTTATCAATAATTGTTTACCCAAAAATCCCTAAGTGGTAAACACCACGTTGGCCTGTTGGCCATTATTGAAGGCAATAAGTGCCCTTTTTAGCCATCCATTATGATACATATACTGCTATTGTTAGTAGGCTAATTGCAACATTAAAAATAGAACTTCAAAAATACAAAAAAGTTGAAAAAATCAAGAAAATCAAATAAATCAAAAAAATCATGAAAAAATAAAAAAAAATCATTGATTTTTGATTTTTTGATTTTTTTTTTAAAAATCAAAAAAATCGCCAACCCTGATGTAAACTGAATGATAACCAAACAAAACTCAAAAACTTGAAACGAGACTAATGTTATGACTTATGAGAAAAGCTAACACTGTATGAAATGAACATCTGCACAATTCAAACATTTTATTTCCATTCACTGCATTTAATTATTTTATATATAATTTTATAATTGTAATTGTATTGTTTCTAGCTTTAAATTGACATATTTAAAGATAGATTTGCATATTTTGATTAGAATATTAGAGTGAAAAATCTTTCTAATTGCCTAAAAGGTCAATACAATCTCAACCTCTCAATATACAGGGTGGGGCAGAACCGATTGAGCAGTTTTGAGGCAAAATAAGAGTAATGGAGGTACATAAAGAAGAAAGTTTATTTTCCTAAAGATATCCAGTACCATTATCATAATATACCATTTAGATTACTTATGTTTTGAAAACAATATCTGGACGATGGTGGCTGTTAGCTGCAACACACTGTTGGTGTCATTCTTGGAGGAGGTAGTAACCATGACGGTGAATTCCAAACGCTATACTGCAATGGTGCAAAATTTCTTGCAGCCTAGGATGGAAAACATTGTTGAAAATTAAGCATTGGGAGATGTGGTTCCAGCAGGATGGGGCTGCAGCTCACACAACCCAAATGTCACTCAATGTTTTGAAATGCATGTTTCCCAGACATCTGGTGTCTCTGACGGGTGATTTACAGTGGCCAGCAAGGTCACCTGATTTGAGCATTCGGGGACATCTAAAAGAGAGAGGGTTCAGTAGTCGCCCTCTGAGGGCGCACCCTACCACAGCTAAGGGAACGGATTATTGCAGAGGTTATGGCCATACCTCGCCATATGTGTGAATGTGCTGTAGGAAACGTTCGAGAACGACTCCAACAGTGTGAATATGGTATGTTATGCTAACCTCAAGTAAAATAAACTTTCTTCTTTATGTACCTCCATTATTATTTTGCCTCAAAACTGCTCAATCGGTTCTGCCCCACCATGTATAGGCTAGCTAACACCTCTAAACTGTATATTGTAACCAATATATAACAAATAGTCAAATAGTTGAAGACTACTTATAGCCTTATAAGAATTAGCAATGTACAATGTATTGCAACACTTGATGCCTCTGTACCAAAAACATACAATTCATTGGAACCTGATACACATTAAAGGCAACAAGTTTACATTCCAATTTGCCATAGTACATTTATACTAAACCATGAATAACAATACCTCAAAATAAATTGAAGACTGCCACTCAATATACTTAAATGTAAAAAAATTGAAAAACTAAAAAAATCGTGATTTTTCATAAAAAAATCACTGATCTAATCACATGATTTAATCAGTTTGATTTAATCAATGCCAACCCTGCTTTTAGATAAATAATTATTGATAAGTCTATTCATTAGCTTTGTAAAGTTTGTATGGAGCAAGGCAACAAGTTAAATATTGACATTTAACTGGCTTCAATGTACAGCAACACTTCAGGAATGCAGATCTTCTAGACATTGAAGAGTCACATAACAGATAGGTAGCTGATAGCACAATGCACAACACTATCAATAGATCTACTAATTTTATGTCCTATAAATCTACCAGACTCTACCCTCTAAACACACTGACTAGCAGAGGTGGGCAGTAGCGCACTACATTTAGCACTCGCTACATTTTCAGCAGCGGTAGCGGCGCTACATTTAAGCATTTGTCGCGGTAGTGCCTGCTACATATTTAAGTAGCTATACAAGGTTTTGCCGCTACAGCGCTACTGTTACATTTATAGATAAAGCCTTGAGATTTTACTTAATAGTGTTAAATATTATTTAAGAAACAGCATGATACATACTTAATATAAATTACAGAATAAAACTGTATGAAATATTTTGGTGTAATGTTGTCAACCTCAGCCTGTTACTAGTGTCAACATGTTACTTGTTACTTGTTGTTACCAGTTACCACTTGTTCTTGCTCTGTGCCAGCTGCCACCACATGTCCAGGACCACATCACGGACATCAGCCACCTAACTTCAGTTTGCTTAGTTATTTTTTCACAGTTTTTTTATGTTTCACCTTCCCTACATGGATGTCTACTTTATTCTACCTATCTCAAAAATTATCCACATATATATATATACAAATAAGTCTGATTTTTAATATGTATATGCGGATAATTTTTGTGATTGGTAGATAAAAGTAGACATCCATGTAAGGAAGGTAAAACATGAAAATAACTAACTTTTATTTGCTGTATCTAACCCGTACTATTTTGGTTAGGTTAATTGTAATAAAGTTGCATTGATACGTTTTGAAAATGTTTTATTAATTATCATTGAATGTTTGAGTAAATCCCAATAGCAGAACAAAATATTTAGAGATTTCCAATAATTTTGGCCATTGTATTGGCGGTACATTTTACGGTAGCGGTAGCGTCCGCTGCAATCTAGTGGGTGTAGCGGTAGCGGTAGCACCCACTATATTTAGAGCATGTAGCAGTAGCGGCCACTACATTTCAAAGTAGCGCTACCCAGCTCTGCTGATTACTACCTAGTGACTGAGTGACTGACTGCACTGTTCTCATTTGATTCAGACCAATTTACCAATACTAAACATAAACTGAACAACAACCAAACAAACCTCAAACGACTTGAAACAAGAATTTCAAGTTTTCCAAACTTGTAAACTTGTCCAAAAATTCAATATTTTGCAGTGCAGGATTAGACCAGACTACAAAATGTTTCAACAGCTTTATCATTCAAATTTTATCCAGTAAATGCCCATAATGGGCTGGTTATTGGCTACCCCTATATGGCGGTTTTCCTCCACCTGACCATTTTCATCAGCATTTGTTGTGTATCTTTCCTTATTGAGATAATAGTTCTAAAACATTAAGTTGATTTTCAATTTTGACAAACTCGCATAGTCAAAAGATGCAAAATAGTTATTTTCATATTTTGAAATGAGTCAAATGGAAATATCAAAAATATGAATTTGAATAGTCTCTTTATAAAACATAAATTAATTTTATTAATAGAATTCAGAGTAATGGGATACCAACATTGAAGAATAATATTAATCATGAGAAATGCCAGGCTCATCTTTAATTATGTAATATTTATGGTCAATTGTCATACTTGGGGCTTTTGAATCGATTCATTTTTTCAATTCAAAAGAGTGGCAATATTATTTTTACATAATTTTTCAGGCCTGAAGAATTTCTTAGCAAGGTTTTCTACCTTTCACTGCATTGTTGATTTTTGTAGTGTATTTTTTTAACTTTAGATGCTATTTCTTATGTACTATTTCCACAAACCTCTTTAATAATGAATTTTAAACAATTTGCAGAAGTGCCCAACAAGCTAAAAATTAGCAATCATGCAGAACGAAGCTGGTGAATATGTTGACCTGTATGTGCCACGCAAGTGCAGCACTTCAAACAGGATCATCCATGCAAAAGACCATGCCTCCATCCAGATCAATATTGCTGAGGTAAAAACTGACGATTAAATAACATGTAGGCTTGAAATTCAGTTTTGCATGATATTCTTGTATTGATATTAGTATTTTGTTATCTGCTTTTTTTTAAGGCGGAATTATTGTCAGGCACAGGATGAATTAATAATTGCTTGGTCTCCCTTTTTCCTTCCTACTAATAAATGAATATGTTATGTGTGGCTGATGGCCGTTGCAAAGGCCTGACTCTGGAAGGCCTTTTTTTCTCGGAGTCCCGCTCCCCAAATCCAAAATTCAAATCCACGACTTTCCAGCACAATTTTATCATTTACAGGTGGATGAGCGAACTGGTGTGATGACCATGAACTACACCACCTATGCCATCTGTGGAGAAATCAGGAAAATGGTGAGCTCACTTATTCGTCATAGTCATCTTGATCCCAACTAGCTTGTTGATTTTGTCCATAGCTGCGCTAGAAAAAACTATAAAGATTGTTAGCTGATGCTGAATTGCAACTATGCAGAAGTTAGGGAGAGGATGGAGCAGAATACTGTTGTGAATCAAGTTTATTGTTTACCAATACAGAGCAGGTGGTGAACTAACTGACTATGGAAGAAAATTTTCATGATTAAGGTGTCGTCAAATGTAGACTGTAACTTAACTAAATTAATTAAGGAATTGGGACTGTTGCTGCAAAACTACCAACTTGTAAACTCGTAATTGAAGTATTCTTACATTACAATTCTCATCTCAGACGAATACTTCGTAATAACTGACTTTTTTATTGCACTGGGACAAATCTAATTTCATGATTGAAGGGAAGGAGATTGTATACAACAATTCACGCATTAAATTTTTTGTTCACTAGATCCCGTCCAGTTTTCATCCTCCATGTCGATGATTTCGAAACTTTTACAGCCTGTTACACAATTTTAACATGCCGCAATAAGATTGGTACCACTTGCATCCAAGTATCAATATCGATAGATATGACTCGATGAGTTAACTTGCACTCCCATTACTACTAACAACTTTATTGACCCTAGTCTTGTGTGTAATAAAGTAATTCTAAACTGAAAATCATGTAATTATGAACTTGACTGCTCAAGTTTAATTTTGAATTTTGTTAAGTTTCAGATTTACACGGAATTTTGTAGCAGTAGCATGCAGTCCAATTTTAAACGATTTAATGCAAACTCGCATAGTCAATTTATTATTTATAGTCGATAATTCCTTTATGTTCAAACTTTCTTCAAAGTTATCATAATTTTAATTAATTTTTAATTTTTTCCGCATAAAACAATTGTCTACTTAAATGAACTTGTAAATTCATGGAACTGTCTGAACTGTTCAGGGTGTTGTTGGTAATCGCTCACATATTTTGCAGGGAGAAAGCGACGACTGCATTTCCCGGCTGGCTATCCGCGACAAAATCCTCGTGAAGTGCGATTAAAACGGAGCCGTGAAGTAAACGTTGTATGATTTTCCTCATACTTCGCCCTGTTGCGAAAGGATGTATCTTGATAGGATTTTCTCTTGTATTATGAAGCTTGTTCCAGACCTGTCTCTATACATGAACTTGAAAGTGACGTCGCAACATCTTTTGCGTTGTGAATATAAACGTACGATTCGAAAAAATGAATTAGAAAATTCCATGCACACAACAAAGCATGTAGATAAGTATTCTTGTACTAGTAACTTCAACATCTTTTTTAAAAGCATTCAGTGTTATGTCATCATGAGAACTGAAACGGTCGAAATTGAAATCATTTTACTTGAATAATTACTATTCTGACGAATAATCAGGTCGTATTTTTTACTGTCTGTGCTTGGATTAAAGTCCTATCTCTGCCTTTTTAAAGTCCTATCTCTACCTCCAGCTCATCCTTTTCGTTCGCCATGCTTTTCACACTTGTGCACTTGGGTGGAGAGCGAAATTAAAATATGTCGACGTTTCAGGTGACGTTAATGCTTTTAACTTCTGGACAGATCTCAGTCCGGGCTCGAGCTACTCGAATCCCGGTATAATAATTCAGTGGCTTGTCGGTTCAGCTTGGATAACATTTCCTGATAATAATCTTCAATTCGAAGAGCTTTAATGCTTTCGATAAGTTAAATTCATCCTTGAAATTATACTGCTCTTGAAACGCCGCCTCGCGTGGAATCAATACATTGCTGATAAAAAAAAGCTTTTAATGACGCAACTCTTACAAATTTTTAAGCGATAGCAATTAGTATTCGATTTCGTAATATGGCGTTTCTCGCAGCAACTTATTATTGACAATAGACGTTTGTATGAGAAAATAACGTCTACACGAGCGTTAATGGCCTTCAGCAATAGCACGAGAAAATCGACTAATTTTTTTGATGCGCGTCGCGTATCAGAAGAATTCGAATGAGGTACAGAACGAAACTTGTACTGCTCTTGGTAACAGGAAGTTATTTTTGGCATCTTTGAACAGACGAGTTGGAAAAAGTTTATTCAAACCGGTTAGTTCATAGTTTGTACTATTTGTTCTTGAATAGCTGCTGAAGCATGGTTGAACTAATTCAAGCTTGACACACACTTTTCTCAGCCTTACGGATGTCGTCTATTGTTCCACCTGTGACTTCGCTCGGAGCTCAAAATTCAAATGTTGGTCGACAACTCAGTTCAAAAAATGTCCTCTTTGAACTAACTTTATACAAAAACTGACCTAGTGTTCTCTGCAAAAGTGTTTACAAAGTCAACTAGTCCTGCTTTACATATTGCCGGTGTCAAAATGAAATTATTTTGTGCGCTTTCAAGTAATTGGAAAAGAAAACTCCCGACCGAGTGGACTGACTTCTAATGAATTTTGATGACGGCCTCGTCAAATAAACGGCCAAGTTAAAAGTGAAGAGCCCCTATAATATAACACATTTTTGTTAAGCTAGTATTCGTGGATCTAGGCGTTTTCTTTTTCGCACTCTGATGCTGGTTTACTCTCTTGTTTATTATCTCCGTGGCCGGTTTCCAAGTTTCAGTGAGACTAAAATATCCCTCAAAATGAACGCAGCTCGAACTTGGCACTCGTGTGCAATAGAATAGGACCTAGCGGTGATGTATAGGGTGTAATTTTTTTCCAATTTTGCCTAAGTTTTGGAGTTGTACGACGGTCTAAAATTTGCTATGAGCCTAATATATATTATATACTAATATAATACAGATTTGAAATAAACTCTTAATATACATTCTTAATCGCCTAGCAGTTATCATGTTATACTAATGTTGTGATTTTTTTCAATTTCCTCTTAGTTTGCGAGTTATTCGACTATACGGAGAAACGAATAGCATTTATGTGACCGGTTGTCAAATTTGCAGTGAGCCTAGAATATCTTTCTAATTAATCAACACAGTTCGATGAATTAACTTGCGAACGATGGCCAAATCGAAAAAAAATTCTCGATTTAAACATCATTTCTCGGTTGTTATGAATGGATATTAAATGTTTTGTTCAAATTGTACAGCAGTATTGAAGATACTTAGATACTCGTATACTAGGCACCCTGCAAATTTTGAATTTTATAACTCGAACACGAAGGCAAAAGTGAATAAAAGCATGACCTAGACATTACCGTTAGGCTCTATTGAACCCGTGTGCTAAATTTCATAGAGCTATGTTCATTAATTAAGGAGATATTTTAGGCTCAATGAAACTTGGAGACCGTCCGTGGAAGTGTCCGATAGGTTTTATAATCGATATAATATTACCACAAAGTGAAAGAGCTAATCATAAAATATCGATTTGAAGTTATAAGGAGATGATCAATAGGGTGAGAACAATTAATAATATCATCGAAAGAGATCCGATCGCCCAACGAAACTGAATTAGTTTGAGGACCGCTTTTCTTTTCTCGGAACATCTAACTGAAGCAGCGTCTCATAAAGGTGGCAGCTGAAGCACGAAGCTGTAAAAGTTTGAAGGTCAGTTTTTAGCGCATTTTCTCATTTATGGAAAAATGCGCTATTGTGCTCGCCATGTCCGTCCACCTGACTATCTGTCCGTCCGTGACTTCACGTTTTCGTCGACGAGAAAATGCGCGCTCTGTCAATCACTGCAGTGAGAACTGAGTTATATTTTTTAATGATTGAGGTCAAAGCAGACACTTTTAACACGTGTTTGACATTTCTTCACGTTTTCCGATACATATGTGACGTCACAGTGAAGATGCACAGAACGGTGTCAAACTTTTCTCAAGTCCTAACGGTGATACAGCCGTTAGTTGTATCAATCGTAAATTTCTTTCGGTTCGCTTGTCCAGTGACCTCGACTGGGCCAAACGGGTGGTATCATGGTTGAATTTATATTAATTCAACCATGGGTGATGTATCCAGTTCCATGATGGGAAATCCCCGTCGCCCACCGGAGGACGAATAAAACGTTATGCCCTGATTCATTCTATGAATGAATGAGAGATGTTTGTTTATTTGAACTCTCATTTTGTTATTCTCCCACATCCTAACGGCAAATCGAGTGGTAGTGGCTATTGCCGTAGATTTGAATGAGTTACTTACGGCTTAAGTTACTTGGATCATAATCATATGAGTTATGACTTGAGTGATCCAAGAACTTATCACTTGTGTGACCCAAGTGATAAATCATTAATCTTGATCTCATACTCGTAACTAATTTTTAACTAGTGTGGTACTTTCCTTATCTTCGTTCGTAAGAATTCATCAGTCGCAGGAAATGGAAAGCCTTTGCGTGAGAACGTCGAAGTGATTCTTAAAATGTTTTTACCGGATATTTCAAACTCTCCACGATTCCTGCCAAACGTTCCTAGTTTCTGTGCTGGGAAAGTCTTTGGCGCCGCAACGTTTGTTGCCTCATGATGGTGGACTTCCCATAATTCCAATACGTACTGTCGTTGACCAATACTTGCTCTCTGACAAGTGCTTTCGTCATCTCCCACGCTTGCGCACACGTACTATAGGCCTCGCCGTCTGTCAGTGGCAGACGCGCAGCTGCCGCAGTGTGCCAGCGTGGACTCCGACTGACGTCTCAGCCTCAGAGCCTCTCAGACTCAGAGTCTCAGTAGTCGTTCAATTTCCGTACGGGAAGGTGTAGGAGGCTGCATTAAGTGAGGCGCCGGCAGTTAACATTGACACCCTTCGGGACGCTCAAGTATCAAACAGGTAAGCATATGCCACATATCAAAAATTTTATATTTATCCTGTAACAATTTTTTCTAGTATTTCCGTTATCAGCGTATATTCTGAAACATCACCACACCATGCACGTGTGCCTCTGATATAATTATTTTGCATCCTCATTTCTGATGTTTTATTATCTCGAGTAGTACCTGAGGACTGAGATGTGCTTTGCCACCTAACCAAGGAATGTAAAAATCTCCATTTGAAATTAAAATGAGTTGTGACTTAAGATGAGTTGTGAAACTACATTTTGATATTGCCTATTACAACATATAGGTGTAATAGTTACTTGAAATCAAATAAGTTACTAGTTACTTGAAGTCAAATCAAACTTTGTAACCAGCAGATTGGACGGCATAGAAAGAGATAAATCAAAGTTCAAAGAATGTCGGCATTTGCTAATCGTGTTTAGGGAATCTGAACATGTGGGCGGCGGTGGTTTGCTGTAGTGACTTGCTAGAGCAGTTACTGTGAACATCTATGCAGTGACCTTGAACACACTATCTTGTGCCAATCGAGATAGCTTCGATAATTATGTTTACGTATGTTACCCGTGAACACTCTTATACTATTAGAATCTATATCTATTATTATTTGATGTCAAATTACATAATTTGTCTTCGTAACGAAAAGGGCTGCGTGAAGCACAAAAGTGTCAATGGTTTCAGCTACCAGTCCGTGCAGTCACTAGAGAAGGTTCTCTAAGGAATAGCTCCCTGTATTACAGACCTGGGAATTTACAGAGATGAGAGATCGAACATCCTAGTTGAAGATTATTCATTATTGAAACATGAGTAAATAATTTGATCTGCAGGATAGTAAAAAGCAGCATGTTGGTGTCGTTAGACTTACATGAACCACTGAGCAAGGTGGCCCAGTGGTTAAAAGTAATCAGAGTCCCAAGATTGGAGCAGAGAGGCGCGGGTTCGATCCCAGCTCTGTGCGCCAGTTTCGGGTCAGAATCGGCGAGGAAGCCGGGCGGTTAAGCAAAGTAAGTTTGAAGCAGTTGGTTGCAAGTTCAAGCCCGCAACATGCTGTGGATGTTCTGCAATGTTAAGAATAAGCGACAGGCCTACGGCCTAATAAACGTTGAAACCGCTATATGACAGCGGTCTAGCAAACAATTATTTCAATGATCACTGCAAGCAAATAAAATTAAGCATTACCTCAGAAGTTGCTGTAAACAATTCTACCAATTTTGTTCATGGCAAAATTTTTAAGCCGTTTGTTTTACGCGTAGTGCAAAATGATTATATGCTTCATTGAACGGTTCACAGTCTTGTTTTGTTGATGTAAGAATGCATCAAAACGAAAACTGAGCTCACACACGGAGAAATGAGTGAGACTTTGTCTAAATAGAGATGCAGTTTTTGTCATCGTGTGGGTCATCCTAACCCCGTTTGGCCTTGCTTAATGAACGAATCAGTGCTACGTGCAGAGAGTGTCACGTTTTTGACAGTGTAGCCAATACATTTTTCTGAGTGTACTCTGACGATCAAGGAAATTAGCTGTATATATGAATTAATATATTCATTAGTGCCTTTGCTCGTTTACATTTCTTAAATAACTCCGATGGCCAGTGGTGATGCCTCCCGACAGTAGCATCGATTTGTCGTTCGTTCAAGTGTTCTTTATAGGTAAGCTGTCAGCCTGTCAACGTTTATAGCATCGTTGTTTACGTGTCTATGTCGTGCAAGTGCGGGACAAATGGCGTGCGGTCAAGCACGTATTCGTGTGAGGTGTTGTTTACTTAAATGGGGGCTTGATTGGCCAATCGTTGCGTTGATGTATGCGCAGGTGGCGGTGTGATGAACATGAGTAATAATGTCGTGAACCCTGAGGCTACACCAGCTTTGTCGTAATGTGGTCGCAAGAGGCTATTATGACTAACTGAGTGGGTTTGTGGTGTACGATAGTTTGGTTTTTTACCGCTAGACTTTGCTTTTATGTTTCGACGGGTTTCCTATGTTTAGACAGGGAGTTCTCAGCCTTGGTTTGGGAGTGCGAAGCGACATAAAAAAATTATCCAGCAATTTTCGTTCCGCTTAAGAATCGTAATTTATGTTTGGTTTTTATGACACTCCATGTTATTAGTAATAGAAAGTCTGTCTCAACGCTTTGTCAATTTCAAAAAATATAATTTAATAATTTCAAGTTCTAAAATATGAAGAGACGTCGATTTTTAGCTGGACCAAAGTATTTGACATTGACATATTTCCTCATTGTCAGCCTAGCGATGATATGGAGTGACCTTGCATCGTCGTGTGCAGCTAATCAGGGCCAAAATATTATAACGTAGAACTGAATGTGGGTGTCTGCTTCAAATTTAATGGAAGTGAAGTTTTTCTTGGCAAAGAAACTATCCATTATCGCATGTTTATTCTGGTGATATGAATTCATTAATGTTGAAACGTGCATCACCAGTAGAACCATCAATTCATGCTATTGACCGAACGTATTTGGTCTGTGATAATTCTGAAGGGTTAATCTTAATGCAGTGCAGTCGACACATGCAAATTTTTCTCACCTGTGGCTTCCAAATGCAATGCAGTGGACATTTAAGCAAACATTTCTCATCGGGGCTTGCAGACTGCAAGCCCGGCTCATGCCGGGCTTAAAAAAGGATATATATCTTAACTTTTTCGTATTTCGGATTTCTTATGGATCGGATTTTCTTATCGTAGAACTTCAAACATGGACTCATGAAGAACGCGTGGAGCTTAGGTGCATGGGTGCCTATCTGGTATGATAGTTGGAAGAAGATTTCCTTTCATTGCTTTTTCAGAACAAAGTAAGGGATCAGAATAAACAATGAAGAACTGTTGTTTTACGGATAATTTATTTTTTCAGCCGCTGAGAAGAATTGGGAAATTTTTTAAATATCAAGTACTTACAGTGAGTGCGAATAGTATATGACACAAAGGAAAACTTCATTCAATTAAAGCGTATCCAACAAAATAACATAAACAAACACCATTGTTTGTATTAAAAAATAACAATATCATTAAATATTGACTTGATAATAGCAATTTTGTAAAATTTAATGTTCTAAATGTACCTAGAACATAGTAAATAAATCAACTCAATACTTCGTCGTGTGACCTTTAGCAGCCAAACCTGCTTCTTGCCGAGTGGATACTTGTTCACAAAATTAACACATATGCTAATAGTAATTTTAGCCCACTTTTCCTTGCATATTTCTTCCTTGGATCTCCCTCCTGTACCCGCAATTTCAATTCCCGCCACAGATTTTCAATCGGATTGAGGTCAGGTGATTGGCTTGGCCATCCCAATAACTCAATGTCCCTCTCCTGAAACCATGCAAGAGTTGCACTAGCCGAGTGCTCTATAGGTTCATTAATTGTCTTGTTGGAATATCCAACCTCGAGGAAAGTTCAATTTTTCGGCTGACTTTTTGAGACATCTCTCAAGAATGCCCCGACACATTTCGGAGTTCATCCTTATATGATTTCCAATTCCCCAGGGCCTGCATGTAGAAGAAAAAACACCCCAAAGCAATTCATCCGCGTGACATTTCTTCTCGCTTCGAATCACCAACATGTGGAACAGCCTCCTGATAGCATCGTTGGCGCTCTGAGTATAAACGCATTTAAAAACAGACTAGATAAAGCTATGGAAAAATATATGTACAGACTTGAAATGCATATAGCACCATATCGAACCCGGTGGAAGTCTAGTAGCTATTTCAAACTTTCTTCAGGTTGGAAAAGATACGGCCGAAGGACCTGTTTTAGATCTGAAGTACAAGTTTAGATTTCGTTAACAAGTCACGAAAAGCACAAGAATCAGCGACAGGCCACATCGGGCCTATTCTTCAGCGCCGACATCACTATGTTATGTCATTCACTCCCACCACTACGAATATTATTGTGTAATTTATTTCTACCCCTTCAATGCACGCAATGTCATCCATAGCTGATAATGTCATAGGAATAATGGTAAACGCGTGCTGCTGTTATACCACTATACGCGCGCCGGACTACAGAGCCCTCCTCTGCCGCGTGCGAACTTTCATGCAGCATGCGACCTGCGCGCGGAGACGTGGCCTGACGTCAGACGCGCGACCAGCTGCTGTGCTGTTTCATTATATTCATGCACAATGATAATTACTTGAGCATTTGTAAATTCATTGAATGCATTGTATTCAGGATTAACTTTATTCGTTACTTTGACACTCATGTGCAAGCCTTATGAAGAAAGGTTAAAGATTAAAAAGCTTCCAAGAAGCCTCGTTATCGACGTCGGCGTGGTGACCTCATTGAAGTATACAAGTAAACCCTCGGTTTATACAAGGTCCCCGAAGGATTACTAGAATTTGAAACAAGAACCAACACCAGGGCCCCTTGTATAAACTAAAAAAACTGCGTTGTAACACATCCATGCGACAACATTTCTTCTCGCTTCGAGTCACCGACATGTGAATCAGCCTCCCTGAAAGCATCGTTAATGCTCCGATATGAACGCCTTCAAGAACAGACTAGACGAAGCTATGCAGGAGCATATGTTCAGTCTTGAAATGCCTAGCACCTTACGGGCCTTGAAATAAATCCAGCAGCTATCTCAATCAATCGTCAGTTATGGAAAGGTCGGGTCCAAAATGCCGGATCCCTTGTGGAATCAATCAAGTCACGAAAAGTACAAGAATCAGCAACAGGCCATGGGCCTACTTCTTCAGTGCCGACACTTCTATTCTATTATACGGTATTCTGTTCTATTCTATTCTCTTCTATGTGCTTTGAAACCTGATAGTTTGGTTAGCTTGCATTAACCTTTCACGTCTTGGCTTACTTTCCACGATTACTCGATCATCAAGTTGCATTTTTGCCGTCATCTTATGCTGTTAAAAAAACTAACTTTATCCGATTTCAACTATTTTTCGACATTTATCATTTTGTTCAGACTGAAAAAATAAGTACCTGTCCGTCATTATTGCCGCTGGGAAAATGTTAGTTCTTCTGAGC